CCCCCCCCCCCCCCCCCCTTAGAGTTCAACGTGCCAACAGATGGCACCGGAACACCGGGATCCAGACTCACCAGCTTATGCACTTGCGTGTCTCTGTGTACACAAGTCAGCAACCTGCCCGACCCCGCTGTCTGGGACCCCTTCGGCCAGGCAGCTGCTGGCCCCTTTTTTTACGAGGCTACACTCCCGACACGACCAGGTATTTATTCTTGGATTCGGATTTCAAAATGAGAACAATTATTTTCTGTGCTACACAGAAACGCAGCGTCCATTGGTGTATCGTTGCCTAAGTTGAGACGTGTGACCTTTCCAACACCACACGGCAATTTGGCCTTGAGGCGCTTCATGAACACAAAGCTGAAATGGAAAGAGAAAAAAAAAACAATTCCTGCAATTTTCTGTTCGATATTGTTTTTGGGTTTTTTTATTTTTTAAAGGTTGATGGAAAAGCGTTAACCTTTTTTTTTCTCAGACAAAGAAAGACGGCGGCCTCCCATCGTTCGGCTCCGGTCCGCCAGGCTGAGCTCTCCTCTCAAGACGACCCTCGGCATTCACGCGTATGAAGGTTTTTTCAGAGGGTTTGCCAGAGAGCTTTAGGATTTGAGGAACGCGCCGCCAAAAAACTGTGCGATGTGGGCACGGGAGGGCCGGAGCGCGCGTATGTTACAGCCCTCAGCGGGGCGGATTGGCCGGGCAGACCAACGCCTCGGCGTGATGGATCTCTCTTCCCCACCGCTGGGGCTACAGCTTTATCACAGGACGGGGAGCCCTCCATATTTTCCACCAGAGAGAGAGCGAGAGGGAGAGCCATTGCCGCGGAAAAGCCTGGGAACCCATAAAAAGAAGGAAGCCTTCTCCTCCTGGGTCCCCCATTTTTTTTCCGTTCCAGCTGTAGTGTTTTCTTTAAAATACTTCTGACACGTTTTCCTTTTTTTTTTTGGCACGCCTCTCGGTCTGGTATGCCGAGCCCCCCCGTAAACCGAAAAAACATGTCGAGTGTTTTCGACTTGTTTCGTCTCCCGGGCGCGTTCGGTGTGTTCACTCTGCCTTTTTGGAGTGTTTTTCCTAAGCTCATTGGCTTACATGGAATTGTTTGTCCCCCCCCCCATGCTTTAAGGCATGCACTGGGTCACTCTGGCTGTGGGAGCCGTCTGCATGGCCGATAGCATGGCAGCGAGCGGCCCTCTCCCCTCGCCCCGCTGGGGGCCACGGGCTGTGCCAGTCGCCTTGGCAGAGTCGGGGCAGCAGACGTGGGCAGAGGCTATGGCAGACGGCACCTCGGGCCCAGCCTCAGCAGCCCAGCCGCCCCCCCCCCGTCCCCCGCCCGCCCGGCCGCCGCCTCCCTGCAAAACACCGACTTAGCCTTCAGCTTCAGGCGCACGGGATGTGTGGTTCTCTCCGTCCGTCTCAGGGATTGGCTGCTTATTTTTTTTCTTTTTTTTCGCTGGCAAAGAGACCCAACATCTTTTCCCTCAGATGTTATTTTCAAGCTTTCAACACTTCTGATCCAGCGTGTTCTTTGTGTCCCATCTAGACGACGAACAAAGAGTTCCTCGGCAGTGACGAGTGAAATAAAACATGCGGAAGATTAAGGGTCTGGCAGCGCCGCAGACCAGCTCCAGAGATTCTGCACGATTTTTAAAATAGCCAATAATGGACGTGGTGAATGGTAGAGAGAAATGACAGAGTGGCATTTAATCTGCGTTGAGAGCTTTTTTTTTTTTTTAGTCAAACACAAGCACAGGGGATCCATTGCATGTGCGGTTTTCAAAGCTACCTGGTTCTTCAAGGGGAAGTCCAGCTGTTCAAACAAGCGCTTTGCGTCGGATCCTTTGTGTTTTCGGGAGTGAATGGCGGCGCGGCACAAAAGAGCCTTTTCCACGACTCACAAAGTGGGATTTTGCTTTTGAATTTATGAAATGAAATTGATTACGTGCGCAGGTTGGACTGATTTCCCAGTCGAGCCAGATTTCTCTGGCTCTGCTTCTCGAGTCCTCTTCTAACGTTTTAGTCGAAAACAAGATGGCCACCGGCTTTACTAACTGCCTCGGAATGTCAGGCAGCTTGATTAAAAACAGGAATATGTTAGAAAATGAGTTTGCCAGCCGTTTATTGATAGATGGAGTGCAACAGCGCATCCTGCGTCTTTTTACATAAAGATGGAAGAGGGTGATAAAGGGTCCGTGTAAAGTGGAGGCCATGATTGATGGGCCCACAGGGGAGGGAAGCTGGAGAAGCCCCGCGATAATTCAATTAATCTTAACCTGAACACTAGTAATTGCTACTGTAACTAGTTCTGACTGTACATTAGACCGGAGGAGATTGCTGTCAAAGAAACATATAACATATGATGTATTGCGTGTAATAGAAGTAGAAAGGAATGTCCTTAATGTTCCACTTTTGTTCCTCGTGATCCATTCTTGTAAGGCTGAGGTTTTGCATGCTAATGAGCCGAGCAGGAAATGGATTACTTCAAATGTGGAGCAGAAGTGAGGCAAGATCTGTAAGCGGTGCCTCTCCCTAGCTCTACAATCATGGGTGGAAAAAAGGAGTCGTTTTAAAGAGCCTCCTCTGGTTTTAGCTGAGGGTTAGGTAAGAAGATTATTACCATGAGCGCATCCGTCCGTTAATGACGCAGCTGATCATCTCTGCGTTTAAGAGAGGGGAAGAGCTCTGGTTTCAGGTGTTGTAACCAGGGTTAAAAGCCCCGTTTTCAAGACTCCGAGCCTGTCGTCGTGCCTCCTTGCACAGAAAAACATAAATCCAGCCACATCGACTTGAGAAAATCAGTGCGTTGTGTTTTTTCTTCTTGTGCTATGTGGGTTCAGTTCATATTGAGCTCTACAGCAAACACTTTTGGATAAATAAATAAAAAAGAGAATGCGGAACACGCCCAGATGTATTGATCCCATTGTGTGCCGTAAGATCACCGCGGGGGTTTGTGGGTTTTGACCCAGAGGCAGAAGGACAACACGTCTTTACGGGCTTATTTCATGGACTCTCGTTGAACGCGGCCTATAAATCAAGTTTACAGTAAAATCTATTCTCACCCTTCCTCCCATTCTCCTGCTACACC